AACCCCTGTCCCTTAGAAAATGTTAAATAAAAAGCTAGAAATGATTAAGCTTAGTGAGGAAGATATGTTGCAAGTCCAGGAGACAGGCCAAAAGCTAGGTCCTCTTGCACCACTTAGCCAGGTTGTGAAGGCAAAGGAAAAACCCTCGAAGGGAATTAAGACGCTACTCCAGTGAACACAGGAATAAGAAACTGAAAGAGCCTTACTGCTGACGTGGACAGTCTGGATGCACCAAGCCAGCCCCACATTCCCTTAAGCGCAACTCTAGTGCAAACCAAAGCCCTCACTTGCCTCCGTCTTCTGCGAAGGCCAAGAGAAGTGAAGAAAATGTAGAAGTCTCGAGCTATCAGAGGCTGTTTCATGAAGTTTAAGAAAAGACGAAACCTCACTCGGCCAGGCACAGTGGCTCATGCCTATAATCTCAAGACTTTGGGAGGCTGACGGAGGTGGGCGGATCACTTGAGGTCAGGAGTTTGAGACCAGCCTGGTCTACATGGTGAAACCCCATCGCTACTAAAAACCAAAAATCAGCCAGGCGTGGTGGTAGGAGCCTGTAGTCCCAGCTACTTGGGAGGCTGAGGCATGAGAATGGTTGAACCAGGAAGGCAGAGGCTGCAATAAGCCAAGATCATGCCACTGCACGCCAGCCTGGGTGACAGAGCAAGAGAAGACAGACAGAAAGAAAGAAACTTTTATGTTGTGTACTATAACATGTAGACCATGTAGACCAGGCTGGTCTCAAACTCCTGACCTCAAGTGATCCACCCACCTCGGTCAGCCTCCCAAAGTCCTGAGATTACAGGCATGAGCCACTGTGCCTGGCCGAGTGAGGTTTCTTCTTTTCCTTTTTTTTTTTTGAGATGGAGTTTTGCTCTTGTTACCCAGGCTGGAGTACAAGGTAGGCCGGGTGTGGTGGCTCACGTCTGTAATCCCAACACTTTGGAGGCTGAGGCAGGTGGATCACCTAAGGTCAGGAGTTCGAGACCAGCCTGACAAACATGGTGAAACCCCGCCTCTATTAACAATAGAAAATCAGGTGCGTGTGGTGGCAGGCATTTGTAATCCCACCTACTCAGGAGGCTGAGGCAGGAGAATCACTGGAAGCCAGGAGGCAGAGGCTGCAGTGAGCCAAGACTGCACCACTGCACTCTAGCCTGGGCAACAAGAATGAAACTCTGTCTAAAAAAAAAAAGTACAAGGTAAAACAGCAAGTGCTGATGAAGAAGGTGCGGAAGATCTAGCTAAGAGAATTGCTGAATATGGCCGTAATAAACATCAGATTTCCAGAGTAGATGGAACAGCCTTCTATTGGAAAACGATGCCAACCATCTAGGGCTCTTCATAGCTACAGAGAGGTCAATGCCTGCCCTCAGCACTTCAAAGAACAGGCTGACTACTCCAGAGGCCGAGGCACAAGAATCACTTGGACCTGGGAGGCACAGGTTGTGGTGAGCCAAGATCACGCCACTGCACTTCAGCCTGGGCAAGACAGCGAGACTCAGTTAAAAAAAAAATCTTAAGGGCCTTAAGAATTATTACACTAAATCTACTCTGCCTGTGGTCTATATATGGAATAAAAATCCCAAAGACAGCACGCCTATTTACAGCATAGTTTACTGAACGTCTTAAGCCCACTGTTGAGACTGACAATGTACCTAGTCACCCAATAGCTCTAATGAAGATGTGCAAGATGAGTGTTGTTTTCACGCCTGCTGACACAACATCCATTCTGCAGCCCATGGATCAAGGAAACTTTCAAGTCTTATTTTTCAAGAAATACATTTTATAAGGCCGTATTTGTCATAGAGAGTAATTCCTCTGACAGAGCCTAGTAGAGCAAATTGAAAACCTTCCCCATTAAGAACACTTATGATTCACAGGAGGTCAAAATATCAACATTAGCAAGAGTTTGGAAGAAGCTGATTCCAACCCTTATGGATTACTTTAAGGGACTGAAGACTTAAGTGGAGAAAGAACCTGCAGCTGTGGTAGAAATGGCAAGGGAAGCAGAATTAGAAGTGGAGGCTGGTGTTTTGGAAGGCCAAGGCAGGAGGACCAGTTGAGCCCAAGAATTTTAGACCAGCCTGGGCAACATAGTGAGATCCTGTCTCTTAAAAGAAAAAACATAACTACAAAATGAGCTGGACAAGGTGGCTCATGCCTGTAATCCCAGCTCTTTGGGAGGCTGTGGCGGGCAGATGACTTGAGGACAGTAGTTTGAGACCAGCCTGGCCAACATGGTGAAACCCCGTCTCCACTAAAAATACAAAAATTAGCTAAGTGTAGTGGCACATGCCTGTAATCCTAGCTACTTGGGAGGCTAAGGCACAGGAATCACTTGAACCTGGGAGGTGGAGGTTGCAGTGAACCAAGCTCGCATCACTGCACTACAGCCTGGGTGACAGAGTGAGATTCTGTCTCAAAAAAATAAAAAAAGAAAATAGCTGGGTGCGGCGGCATGTGCCTGTAGAGGCTGAGGCAGGATCACTTGAGCTGGGGGGTAGGTGGAGGCTGCACTGAGCTGTAATCATGCCAATGCACTGCAGCCTGGGTGACAGAACAAGACCCTGTCTCAAAAAAAGAAAAAAAAAAGTAGAGCCTCAAGATAGATGTAACTGAATTGCTGCAATCTCATAATAAAACCTGAACAGATGAGGACTTGCTTCTTATGGATGAGCAAAGAGAGCAGTTTCTTGAGATGGAATTTACTCCTGGTGAAGAAGTTGTGAACACTGTTGAAATGACAACAAATTTAGATTTAGAATACTCCATAAACTTAGCTAATACAGCAGCAGCAGGGTTTGAGAAGACTTGACTTCTTTTTTTTTTTTTTTTTGAGACGGAGTTTCGCTCTTGTTACCCAGGCTGGAGTGCAATGGCGCGATCTCGGCTCACCGCAACCTCCGCCTCCTGGGTTCAGGCAATTCTCCTGCCTCAGCCTCCCGAGTAGCTGGGATTACAGGCACGCACCACCGTGCCCAGCTAATTTTTGTATTTCTAGTAGAGACGGGGTTTCACCATGTTGACCAGGATGGTCTCATCTCTTGACCTCATGATCCACCTGCCTTGGCCTCCCAAAGTGCTGGGATTATAGGTATGAGCCACCGTGCCCGGCCTGCTGATAGCATTTTTTAGCCATGAATTATTTTTTTGATTAAGTAGGTACATTTTCTAAGCAGAATACCATTGCATCCTTAACAGACCACAGTATAAACATAACTTTTACATGCACTGGGAAACCAAAAAATGTATGTGACTCGCTTTATTGCAATATTTGCTTTATTGTGGTGGTCTGCAACCAACCAAAATATCTAGAAGGTATGCCTGTATTTACCGTCCCATAGTTTAAACCCCTAGAGATCTGACCCTCCACCCCATATTATGATCTTTCCATGTCATATCTCCACAGTTTATTATCTTTTAAACACTGTATAGAAACTTTCTGGCCTATCCACTTCTTTTCTAGGAAAGCCTGTGTCACTGTACAAATTAACATCAAGGATAGGCACAATGACTCACGACTAAATACCAACATTTTGGGAAGCCGAGGCAGGTGGATCACGAGGTCAAGAGATCGAGACCATCCTGGCCAACATGGTGAAACCCTATCTCTACTAAAAAAACAAAAATTAGCTGGGCGTGGTGGTGTGCGCCTGTAATTCCAGCTACTCAGAGGCTAAGGCAGGAGAATCGCTTGAACCAGGGAGTCGGAGGTTGCAGTGAGCCGAGATCGCCCCACCACACTCCAGCCTGGCAACAGAGAGGGACCAAAAAAAAAAAAAAAAAAAAAAAAAAAAAAAAATCACCTTGTTTCAGCCTAGCCTAGTTTCCTTGAGAGTTTCCTGCCCTTTGCCCTCTTTCCTGACCCCTCCAGATACACACAGGAGATATATAACTTTATCTCTATTTCCATGGTAAGATCACACAGTTCCCAAGAGCTGGAAGCCAACTGCCTCCCTAAGTGGTCACAGTTCTTGTGCGGTGGTGCATAGTCCAGTGCCTGTGAGACTTTTCAGGTTTAAATTTCTTTCTTTTTTTTTTTTTTTGAGACGGAGTTTCGCTCTTGTTACCCAGGCTGGAGTGCAATGGCGCCATCTCGGCTCACTGCAACCTCCGCCTCCTGGGTTCAGGCAATTCTCCTGCCTCAGCCTCCTGAGTAGCTGGGATTACAGGCACCCGCCACCATGCCCAGCTAATTTTTCATATTTTTAGTTGACCAGGATGGTCTCGATCTCTTGACCTCGTGATCCACCCGCCTCGGCCTCCCAAAGTGCTGGGATTACAGGCGTGAGCCACCGCGCCCGGCCCTTAAATTTCGGTTAATAAAATCCAACAGAGTTATTGTAAAGGCTTAAACATTCATGTGACTTAACTCACAGGAAAATTTACCCATCAATCCCATCCACTAAACAAATCATAAGTTAACATTTACTCTTAAGTGTGATTCAATTTACCATAGAGACTAAGAAAAATGACTTAATAAGGTAGTTCAGTGTCTCTTTACAACAGACTAGGAAAGGGTAAAAATTAAAGGATAGTTCATCAGACCATAACAACCGTCTGGGGTTCAATCAAGGCAGTTTTGCCAGGTGGGGCGCGGTGGCTCACGCTTGTAATCCCCGCACTTTGGGAGGTTGAGGCAGGAGGATCGCTTGAGCCCAAGGGTTGGACACTGCAGCGAGACATGATCGTGCCACTGTACTAAAGCCTGGGCCACAGAGCGAGACCATTACTCAAAAAAGAAAAAAAAATAAGGTTTTTGCCAAAGCTGCCTGAGACGTACTGGGCACACCCCACTTGCACAGGTCCTGCAAACCAGCAATAACAATACCAGGGCTTTCAGCAATCATCAGGAAAATACACAGAAAAGCACCGGGTACTTTTAAACTTGTCATCTTGTTACTGTGACATTACATTTCTGAAATTAAACAGTACAATAGGCCTCCAATAAGATATCCAACTGGGTACACGAATAACCCCGGCCCTAATAAATTAAACACCTGTTTCCAGGAACTCGAGGCTCTCGTCCACACCCCGTCCCGACGCCGAAAGGCGGAAGACAAGTAACAGCCCCTCGGGCCTCGCGGGTCAGTTTCCAGTCCCTGGAGGTGGGCGGCGGTCCTCAGGGCCCGGCATGTGGTCGCGGCCTAATCTCAACGGGGGGCCGACCCTGACCCTCAACGCCACCCGGAACGCGTGAGAGGGCGGGACCTGCCGTTCCCACCGGGACCCGCCGCCGCGGGCGCCTTTGTCGTGGGGGCGCGGCCTCCCACCGCCCGCGCAGGCTTCGTTAAACCCACCCCGAGTACTCGCCGCCGCCTGGGCTCCGGAGCGCGGAAACGGATGATCCTAACGGAAAGGGAACGTGGAGGGCGCGCCGCGGGCAAGAGGCAGGAGCCGCTCGCGCACCCCCAACCTGTGAGCCTCCCCCGCCACAGCCCCCCGCGCCCGCGCTTCCGGAGGCGGAGAGAGCGGAAGGGGAAAGGCGGGGCGGCGCGGGGCAGGGCGCTCCGGGAGAGGCGGGGGCGCGCGGGGCGGGGGCGCGGGGCGGGGGCGCGGGGCGGGGGCGCGGGGCGGGGGCGCGCGGGGCGGGGGCGCACGGTGAGCCTCTTGCGGGCCTCATGCGGGCGTCTCGCGGCTGGCGTCACAGAGCGCGGTGGGCCGGCGGCCAGGCCCGGGCTCCATGCGGGCGGAGCGGACGCCGGGCCGGGCACCGGCGCACCGGAAGAGCCGCGGAGGAAGGCGGTCTAGCCCGCGCGGTTGCCAGGGCGCCCTCGAGGCGTTGCTGTTGCTCCGCGCTGCCTGGGGTGGCGTGCGGAGGTCCCGTCGTTATCGTGTGTTAGTAGGGAAATCTTGTAATTCTCTACCAAAAGCAGAGTAAAAACGGACCGCGGTTGTGTGTTTGTGATGTTTTCTATCAGCACAGTTCAGTTCAGACCACTCGTTGGTTCTGTGGGCCAGAGACTGGTAGCGGAATGGAAAGTCCTTTGCGGAGGGGTAAACGAGGTGGGTAGTTAAAGCAATCTAAGGGGAAAATGATCTCTGCAGAATATGTTGAACGCAATAACTTCACGTTGAACTTTCAGGTATGGTAGGGTGATGGCACCCCAAAGATGTGCACCTCCTAATCCCCACAACACGTGCATATGCCACTTTATGTGGCAGACAGGGTTTAGCTGATGTGATTAAGGATCAAAATGGGAAGATTAACGTGTTTTATCCAGTGGACCCAATGGAATCACAAAGGTCCTTAAAAGAGGAAGACAGGAAGTCCAAAGTTAGTAGCGGAAGCTTTGAGCCCAGCAGCTAGAGGTTGAAGTGACCTCAGAAAGAGGCAGTGAGCCAAGGAATGCAGGTAGAAGCTGCAAAAGAAGGAAACGTGCTCGCTCCTGAAGCCTCTGGAAGGAACGCCAGCCTGCAAATTTTGGTTTTAGACTTCAGACCTTCAGCACTGTAAGACATTAACTTGTGTTGTTTTTTAACTAATTTAAATTTGTAGTAATTTGTTATAACAGCACTGGTACACAATTCAGAAGGTACCCAATAAATATTGTTCACACCTAAGTGCAAAGAAGGATGTCCCAAGGAGTTCCAATAAGGATTGTCTCTATTTTCATCCTTCACAATGTATTTTGTACTTGTTGGTCTTAATTACCAAAAGGATAATCAGTTCTCTTTTTGTTGTCTAAAAGAAAGCATTGGCTGGGTGAGGTGGCTCACACCTGTAATCCGAGCACTTTGGGAGGTTGAAGTGGGTGGATCACCTGAGGTCAGGAGTTCAAGACCAGCCTGGCCAACATGGTGAAACCCCGTCTCTACTAAAAATACAAAATAGCTGGGCATGGTGGCATGAGCCTGTAGTCCCAGTTACTTAGAAGGCTGAGATAGGAGAATAGCTTGAACCTGGGAGGTGGAGGTTGCAGTGAGCGGAGATCATGCCATTGTACTCTAGCCTAGCCAACAAAGCAAGACTGAATTTCAAAAAAAAAAATTCTTTTAAGGTGCTTTTTTAAAAAAAAACACTTTCCAGGGATAGATGTTTAAACTCTGATCGGCTGGGTGCAGTGGCTCACGTTTGTAATCCCTGCACTTTCAGAGGCCGAAGTCGGTGGATCACCCAATGGAGACTAGCCTGGCCAACATGGTGAAACCTTGTCTCTACTAAAAATACAATAATTAGCCAGGTGTGGTGGTGCACATCTGTAATCCCAGCTACTTGGGGGGCTGAGGCACAAGAATCACTTGAACACGGGAGGCAGAGGTCGCAGTGGGCCCAGATCATGCCACCACACTCCAGTGTGGGCAACAAAGTGAGCCCCTGTCTCAAAATAAATAAATAAATAAATAAATAAAACTGTGGTCAAAAGTTTACCTTACAAAGGACTTGAGTAGATATTCCTCCAAAGAAAATATACCAGTGGCCAATAGACAGATGAAAAGATACTCAATACCACTAATTAGGGAAATGCAAGTCAAAACCACAATGAGATAGATACCAGTTCACACCCAATAGGATGGCTTTTGTCAAAAAAACAAAATAAGGATTGGCAAGAATGTGGAAAGATTGAAACGCTTGTGCATTGCCTGCAGGAATGTAGCATAGCTCAGCCACTGTGGAAAATGGTATAACATGTTCTAAAAAACTTGAGCACAGAATTATATGACCCAGCAATTCCCTCCTGGACATATACTAGAAAGAAGTGAAAGCAGGGTCTCAAACAGATATTTGTATACCCATGTTCATAGCAGTGTAGCCAAAAGGTAGAAACAACTCAAGTGTTCATCAACAGACAGATGAAACAGAATGTAGTAGATATATAAAATGGAATATTACTCAGCCCATGACCTGTGTGCCTCTGGTCCACAGTACAACATTAAGATATTCTGCAGGACAGACAGAATGGAAGATGTATTAATGTTCTCCAGAGAGACAGAACCAAAAGGAATTTGATAGATGTATGAGAAGGAATTTATTAGAGAAATTGGCTTACATGATTACGGAGGCTGAGAACTCTGATGATACACCCCTTCGCCAGCTGGAAAGCCTGGAAAGCTGGTGGTGTGGCTCTGTTCAACTCCGAAGGCCTCAGTACCAGGGAAGCAGATGGCATAACTCTGAGGCTACTGAGAACCCAGGAGGCTGCTAGTGTAACCTGGAGTCTCAACGCCAGAGAGCCTGGAGTTCTGACGTCCAAGGACAGAAGAGTCTGTCCTAGCTTCAGGGGACAGAGGAAACCACCTTTTTGTTCTTTCTGGGCCACAGCTGATTGGATGGTGCCTGCCCACATTAAGGGTGGATCTTCCCCACTCAATCCAGTGACCCAGGGGCAATCTTCTTGGGAAACACCCTTGTAGACACACCCAGAAATAATCCTTTGCCAGTTCCCCAGGTAATCCCAATGCAGTCAAGTTGACACCTAAAATTAACCGTTGTCAATTCTTATCTTACCTCACCTCTCAATGTTCCTCAGATCTCACAGGGTGGAGGCTGAACTGCTATTTGTTAAATAAATGTACAAAGTAGTAATGCCGATTTAGCAGCAGTAAATTTCTCCAAAGAATATGTTCAAATATCTTATATGTATGTGCCTTGAGGTAGTTTTCTGACTCCAGGCTTACATTTCTTCATGTCTGCGTTACTCTTGGAAACAATATATATGGGTGTATTGGAAAGATCATGGTCTTAAGAGTTATGGCCTGGGCTTCAATAGTTTCAAACCAGTCTCCCCTTCTCCCCTTTACCGATTCAAGTTATAAAGTTATAATCACTTAGCCTTGTCAGGAGGCTGGCTAAGTTGCTGTTATTCTCACAAAGCTACTACTCTTTTTTTTTTTTTTTTTTTTTTTTTTTTTTGGAGATAGAATCTTGCTTGGTTCCTCAGGCTGAAGTGTAGTGGTACAATCTGGGCTTACTGCAACTTCTGCCTCCCGGGTTTAAGCAATTCTCCTGCCTCAGCCTCCCGAGTAGCTGGGATTATAGGCATAAACCACCACATCTGGCTAACTTTTATATTTTTAGTAGAGATGGGGTTTGCCATTTGGCCAGGCTGGTCTTGAACTCCTGACCTCAGGTAATCTGCCCACCTCAGCCTTCCAAAGTGCTGAGATTATAGGTGTGAGCCACCATGCAAGGCCTACGACTATTCACTTTTAAGCACGGAATACAGGACAGGGGCAAGAACTTGACGTTTTTTTTTTTTCCTCTTCTGTAATATGATATGACTAAATCACAGACTTCTTAGGAAGCACCATGGCATAGTGATTAAATGCACAAGCTCTGAAGCTAGACCACATGAGTAACAACCAAAATCCTAGTTCTGTTACTTGCTAGTTTTGTAATGTTAAGCACATTATCTTACCTCCTGCGCCTCAGTCCGCACTGTGTAGATGGAGACAACAGTATCCCTTAAGGTTGTTGGGAAGATTAAATGAAGTTTGGTGCTTAGAATAGTATCTGGCATACAGTAAGTGCTGTGAGTTACTGCTGTGGTGAGCCAGGGCTTAAACTGAAGAATTAATTGAAATGTATCATAAAGCCTTCAGAATATAGTCCTTGGCATGTAAATTATCAAAAAACATAGATTTGGTTGTTGGTGATAACAAGCCGCTATGCTTTATTTGAAATAATTTGGGTTTGTAGGGTACAGAAAGCCGGTAACTTTCTTTTTTTTTTTTTTTTTTGAGAGGGAGTCTCAATGGGTTGCCCAGGCGCGATCTGCAACCTCCGCCTCTCGCGTTCAATTATTCTGCCTCAGCCTCCCAATTAGGTGGGACTACAGGTGCAAGCCACCACACCTAGCTAATTTTTTGTATTTTTAGTAGAGACGGGGGTTCCTCGTCTTAGCAAGGATGGTCTCGATCTCCTGACCTCGTGATCCGCCCACCTCGGCCTCCCAAAGCTCTGGGATTACGGGCGTGAGCCACCGCACCCGCGGCAGGTAACTTACTTTGAGCAGCACCTTGGCGTGGCAAAGTCACATCTAGCATGAGGCACTCTCTGTTTTTGACTTGCAAGGTATAAGAAAGAATGAAGTGGAATGTAGTTGGTCCTAGTGTTGTGGATTACTGTTAAGCTAATTTAACATTGTCTCCACGCACAACCACGCCTGACTAGCAAAAAAAAAAAAAGAAAGAAAGAAAGAAAAAAGAACGAAGTGCCCATGAATACCGATTAATACGAAATGCAAAAGCTACATTTGCCACTTTATTAGTCTTAGTAGTAATTGCCAGTGTTTAAGTAGCCTATTGGCATCTACTTAGGAAGCATTATCTGTGTATTACTGGCTGGGACTATGATAGAAGAAATGGCAAATATATACTCTAAAAATTATTTGGACTACTTTTCTTTGCGTGGGTGATAGCATGTACTATATTGGGGCCAAAGTGATTACGGGCAGCCGCGTGCTCCCTGTTGCACCCGGCAGACTTCTCTGGACTTTTCCATCGCGAGGAATTGCAGGCTTCATTTACTCCACCGCACGTGTCTGATTCCTTCCCTAAGGCGGCAGGGTGGGAAAGGGGAGGTTGGTAGAAACTGTGTGACGGCGGGGTCGGGAACGGTTGCCTATTTAATCTAAACAGCGAATGAAAATCAGGCCGCAAGGCAAAGAGGGAGAATTACGGGATCACCTGAGCTCGGGAATGACCAGCGCCGCTGACACCTGCAGCAAAATTTTCCATGAACAGACGGCACGGTGTGGAGGCGGAGGGGAGCGAGGGAGAGAGCGGCGTGCGCCGCGCTGGGTCGCGCCCCCTACCCGTGGGGCCGCGGCCCGGACCCCGCCCCCGCACCGTGGGTGGGCGCCTCCCGCCTGTCACTCAGCGGCCGCGGTGGCTCCGGGCCCCGCCCGACACGCACTTCAGGGCGGCCCCGCCCCGCCCCGCCCGCCCGCGTCAGGCTCTCCGGGCTTCAGTCACAACACGGTGGGGCTCCCTGGCTGCGCCCGGCCCGGCAGCTGCGGGCCCGGAGCCGGCTGGCGGCGCTGAGAGGTCGCGGAGAGGGGCGCGGCGGCGTCTGCGGGGGCCGCTCCCTCGGTGGGCCGCGGGCGAGGCATGAGCGCGGGCTCCCCCTGCCTCCGGAGCGCCGGCGGGGAACCGCGGGGCGGGAGATGTGCCTGTCCTTAGCGGCCCAGGCAGCAGCATGTACCCCGATGCGACCGACAGCGGCGGCGCCGGCCTCAGCCCCGCGCGGGCCGCAGGCGCCGGGGACCGTCCTGCCCCGGGCTTCAGGGACGAGCGGCGGCGGGAGTCCCCGGGGGACGCGGAGGCGGCAGTGGCGGCGCCGGGGGGCCTGGGCGGCCGGAGCTGGCGGGGGCCCGTGGCGGGGGCCGCACTCGCCGCCGTGGCCCTCTCCTTCCTGGGGCCCGGAGGCGGGGAGGCGGCGGGGGCCTCGGGGCCGAGCTCCGTCCTGCTCAGGCTCAGCCTGTACCTGAGCTGCGCCGCGGCCGCCTTCCTGCTGGGGACCCTGTTCGCCCTCGTCTGCCGGAGTCCGCGCGCCCCGCCGCCCGACTTCGCAGCCGCCTGGAGCCGGTTGGCCGCGACCTCGGCCGCTCGCCGCCCGCCGGGGGTAAGTGCCCGACTCCTGGCCGCTGGACTCCGTGGGCCCTCCCCGCTTCCGGTGCCCGCGCCCCGGGGGGCCGCGACATGCCCTCTTCGAAGCGGGAAGCCGGGAGCCACGGGGTTGGGGTGTGGGCCCGGCGATGGACGCGAGCGTTCCCCGGCGCCCCGCACCAGGCGGGCTCCGGGCTCCGCGGGGCTGGCGGAGATGCGCGGTATTGGGCTCTGTAGTCACTCGGCCACCGTGCTCAGTCACAACCCTGACGGTCTCCCCAGACCTTCGGTGTCGCTTGCCGTGGGAGAGGAAGAAGGGGTCACAGCTTTCGCTGTGCGCGGGCTCTGCGCTCGGTCCTGGCGATCCACTTGGTTCTTCTGGCCGTTCTCGGTGGGTCGGGGGGCAACTTTATGACCGTTTGCTGATGGGGAAACTTGCTTTGGTCACCGGCCCCAGCACCTCCCCCGAAGCCCGCGCACCCTTCCCACCACACCAGCCTGCGCTTAGCCGTGCTGATCGGTGTTAGAGGAGTGCAGTCCCGCTGGCTTCTGTGATTTGGAAAGGGGATGACCGTAATCGCTGCTTTGCAACAAAAGGAAGGCCATCCTCAGCGCTGTGGGACCTTGCGGCTGGGGTTAGGGAATGTGGGAAAGAACGGTGTTTGAAATGAGCACTCCTCTTCCTCAGTGCCAAGCCCACTGCCCTTTCTTCCACATCGTTTCTCATACCCCCTTAAAGGGAACTTTATTCTATCCCAGCTTAACACTGCTTCACTGAGTGATACCATCGTTCTACTGAAATTGCCCCAAGCGCTTTGGGGTAAGAGAAATGGCAGGGGCTTAACTTCATAACAATATTTGTTAATGCCCAGACTCCCCAGGGTTTGTATTTGCTTATCACGTGACATGCTGATTGCTTTATCCCCGCCCCCCCCCCATGCCTTTAGTTTTTAAAAATGGCATCACACTTTGCCAGATTACCCTGAGTGTTAGTTCAGAATCCAGCGGGGAGATAATGGCGGAAGGCTTTCGTGGGTAACACGTTTCAGTAGGCTGATGAGGCAGTGATTCAAGAACAGGCAACTCCTGTTTTTAGAAGTGGTCTCAGAAATTAGTAACGTTTGTTTCTCTTACAATATCTTCACTTAGCTATCCATTTTTCATAACTCATTTAGCAGGAGTTGGGGAGCTGATGTGTCTTTCCTCTTGCTTTTTTTCTGCAATGACAAGTAAGGACCCTGAGATTTTACTAGTTGGTTTGTTGATCAATAAAATGTCCTAAATCGGGCCGGGCGCGGTGGCTCACGCCTGGAATCCCAGCACTTCGGGAGGTTGAGGCCAGTGGATCACGAGGTCAAGAGATCGAGACCATCCTGGTCAACACGGTGAAACCCCGTCTCTACTAAAAATACAAAAATTAGCTGGGCACGGTGGCGCGTGCCTGTAATCCCAGCTACTCGGGAGGCTGAGGCAGGAGAATTGCCTGAACCCAGGAGGCGGAGGTTGCAGTGAGCCGAGATCGTGCCATTGCACTCCAGTCTGGGTAACAACAGCGAAACTCCATCTCAAAAACAAAACAAAACAAAAAAAATCTTAATTCTTGAGTATTGGAAGATGTTACAGTTGATTCAGTAAATATGTATTGAGTATGTTGTGTATGTCAGGTACTGTTTTGGAAGCTGAGGTTGAATCAACAAGACACAAATATCCTGCTCTCTGAAGATCTTACGGGGGACCAGGCAATGAATACATGCTGTGGAATAGTGATACATACCTCTGAAACAGCGATTAAGAGTTACGTAGAGGGACTGGTGGGGGAAAGTTTAGAGGGTGAGGTCAAGATCAAAGTCTTGGTATTGCGTCCATCTCCTGGGGCATTGAAAGCCCCCTGTTGTGGGTTAGCACTCTTTCCTGGAAAATGCTATCCCCGAAATCTCCCAACTCACTTGCACCTCTGGGTAGGTAAAATGCGAATTATCATCTAGAAAGATTGTTCAGTAGAGGAATTGGAGAAGATAGTAATTTAAAGGTGACAGAAAATGAAACAGCACGTATACATCTCTCATGAATACTACCCGAAGGTTTCAGGTAATGGAAGAGGTGAAGTGTCACCTAAGAAAAGTGAATATTGGTCATTCTTTTTGTCCTTGAACTCCAAAAACAGCCTTAAATAAGAAAATAAGTGCATTAGTCCGGGTACAGGTTTTGCCATGTTGCCCGGCCTGGCCAAGAAGGTGAAACCCTGTCTCTGCTAAAAATACAAAAATTAGCTGGGCATGGTGGCAGATGCCTGTAATCCCAGCTACTCAGGAGACTGAGGCAGAGAATTGTTTGCACCTGGGAGGTGGAGGTTGCAGTGACCGAGATCGCCCCACTGTGCTCTAGCCTGGGTTACACAGCAAGACTCCATCTTAAAAAAAAAAAAAAAAATTAAAAATTAACAAGTTTTTAAAGTGCATTAGGAAATTACATTCTAAGTTATATATTGCTTAAAACTGAAATACATTTAATTCACATAAAATTCAATTTTTTTTGTAATACTGGTGCTGTTTACTCGAGCCTCTAGTGCTGTATTTCCAATTATTTGTGTATGCTTTTTTTTGTTTTTGTTTTTTTTCTTGCTTTGGGACAGGGTCTACTCTGTCCCACAAGCCACCACGCCTGGCTAATTTTTTGTAGGTACATGGGCCTCAAGTGATCCTCCTGCCTCAGCCTCCCAAAGGTCTACAGTTATATCCATGAGCCACCATGCCTGGCCGTGTGTGCTTTTTAAATGTTCCCTTCTTTATGAATGGAAGAGTGGGAAGCAGAAGCATGTGGTGTAGTATAAAATACCTACAGTCAGTGACGCGGGAGCTGGACCACACAGGTCAGCTAACATATGTGGAGGGGGAGGCTGTTTAGCACTGAACCAAATGGGGCTGCTTAGAATAACAGTGACTACTATACAAATTTGGATTCAGCATGAAGCAGAGAATCCTCATTTATTCCTGTATATTTTGAGTTCTTCTAGTGTGAGCGAGACTGTTAGGCACTGGGATCAGTCTTTCTATGTATCCTTCCTTATTTTGTCTTCTTGACTTCTTTCGATAGAGGAAGAAAGTGCAAATACTGTTAAACATGGACAACTAGAGAAGCCTCACTGAAAAGGGAAACGGTGAGACCCGGTGCCTTAAAAAAGATAAAAAGTCGGGTGCCTAGCAGAATATCGGAAACTAAAGGCCACTGCCATGTGAAGAAAGCGTTAATGAAAGACTTTGAAGTTTAGCCAGAAAGTAGTTTAACAACCATCGAATCGGATTAAGAAGCATTTGCTGAATGTGACGTACATCATACTCTGACCTTGTAAGATAATTTTGTCGTCCCCTTAGTTGCTGAGTGCCAGTGTCAGGCACAAAGTGTGTGCTCGGTAGATGGATTTTTATATGAACAATTTTAAGTATCCAACTGACATTTTTAGGTCTGAAATTTCAACTACAGTTTCCTAGAGAAGGGTCAAAGCAATAGGTGGCGTTAAGAACTAGAATAGTGCTTTCTGTAGGCACATGGCAGTTTTTGGTGTCAAGAGGATTCTAAGACGCACAGGAGTGCTCCCTTCCTGCCCTCTCCAGCCCAGTAGATTAGACCCATGGGGAGGACTGGATGGGGGAGCAGATGTTTGTAGAGACAGACAGTAAACACATTCACATAGCAATCTACTGTCCAGTTGGCTTGGGTCAGACTGCTGGGATTCCTAAATGAGTTCTTTTACTAATACAAATGTTCTTTGAGTAAAACAAACTCATTTAGTTACTGAGGGGAAAAGGAAAAAGGAATTAGAGAGGCTGTACACAGCCTCTTTGTGGCTTTTTCCTTTGTTATGCTAATATGATAAACTAATCCTGTCATTTGATAATGGATAATGGCATATAATATATTTACTGTCTTCAGAATATTCTTTTTTTGCATTTTAACTAGGGGATTTAAGTCATGGTGGCCATTGAGAAAAATACTTTTGAGGAAGGTGGCTTTTTGAAAACCTTAAATCATAGGATCCTACCTGTCTGTAGTATAAACATTGTTTAATTCTTTTTTTTTTTTTTTTTGAGACAGGATCTGACTCTCGCCCAGACTGGAGGGCAGTGGTACCATCTTGGCTCACTGCAAACTCCTCCTGGGCTCAAGCCATCCTTCCACCTCCCACTTCACCCTTCTGAGTAGCTGGAACTCCAGGTGTGTACTACCAGCTAGTTTTTGTATTTTTGGTAAAGACTGGGTTTCGCTATGTTGCCCAGGCTGGTCTTGAACTTCTGAGCTCAAGTGATCCACCCACCTTGGCCTCCCAAAGTGCTGGGATTACAGATGTGAGCCACGTCACCTGACTTAAATTCATAATTTTTAACTTAAATTTTTCCGTAGGTTGTACAATGATATGATTAAAAAAGCATCCAGAAAGGTATAGAGTGAAAAACATCTTCCCTCTAGGCAGCCACTATTAATAGTTCTGTTTATTCCAGACACATTTGACACACATATAGGCACATACAAATATGTATTCAAAAGGAGAAGTTTTTGATACATGTAACCTTGGTATGTGAACAGTGATTACACATAAAGGAAAATTATTTTGTGTATCTTCTGTCATGATGGCACTATTCAGGTTAGTCAGCGTAAGATGATCGTATATAGATAGTGGTAACTTCAAAGTGTGAGGATACGATACATGGTTAAACCTGGAACAGAAAACAGTGCCAATCAGGTGTATGTAGGAAATGACAAAAAGTATGTATTTGAATTTAGCAAAATTGTCTAAAGGAAGCAGTATATATTATAATTCTTAAAACAACAGAATGGGTCTGGAGTACATGTATCATTTGAGGTTTGCGTTAGCAGTGCGTATATGAGATAGATGACTCTGGGAGCTAGGGTTAGAAAGGTAGTGTTGGCCAGGTTGTGGAAATGCCGGGCAGTAGAGCTGAATTTTAGTCTTCAGGCATGGTGACTGTTGGCATTTTCTGAGCACAGGAGTGATAGCAG